GAGTGAATTTTTAGGGATTGTCTTAGCAGAGTTCCCAATTGCCTAATGCTCCCTCTTTTAGAAGTCTGGGCTCTCTTTTATTTCTGAATTTTTATGTTTTCAATTCTCTATTCTTGTCTCCATCCACACTGTTCCCTATAACTCTACATATACCTCTTTGATTAATTTGTGAATCTTTGTTCATATCCTTTTATGCCATACAAAGACATTTGAATAATATATTCTTATTTGACTATTTTTATTACACAGAAGATAGAATGTAATGTTCTACATTCTACATCAGGATTTATTATTTTTAACCTATTGTGGAAATCACTGTGTGTCAGTTTACCAAGCGTTTCCTACTGTATGGATGTACTCAACTTAGCAGTTCCCTACAGGCGGACACTTGGGTTGTTTCTAATCTTTTACTCTAACAGTGTTATAATGAATAATCTTGTGTATGCATAATTTTATGTGGATACAGTAAGTTCCCTTAAGTGGGATTGCTAGATTATGTCAAGAGGTCCCCAGGACCCTCAGGTAGGTCATTCACAGGAGGCCTCACAGGACTCAGCCTGTGGTTGTACTCATAGCTATGATTTACTAGAGTAAAGGATACCAAGTACAGTCAGCAAAGGGAAAAGGCACAAGGGGCAAAGTCTGAGGAAACCAGGCATAAGTTTCCAAGAGTCCTTTTCCACTGGAGTCACACAAGATGTGTTTAATTCCCCTAGCAATGGGTTGTGACATCTTATGAAATGTTGCTAATCAGGGAGGCTCATTAGACACTCAGTGCCCAGGATTTTTATTGGGGACTGATCACCTAGGCACCTCCTGCCTGTCATGCCCTCAAATTCTGTTTTCCCAAAAGAAAGATAGATGTTTAGCACGAACTGTATTGTTTTTATAGACAGTTTAGGCACAGTGAACCACTTTTATCAGGGTAGTAGGAACCTTCCTGAAATCCAGGTCCCCAGATACCAGGTGAGGGGCCAGCCTTAAAACAGGCCTTTCAAAGGATAGTCAGGCTTGCCCTGTTAACTCTTTTCTGCACCTAGATCAATAGACTAATGCCAAATTTCCCTTCTATGTGGGTTATACCATTAGAACTCATACCTCTGTTAACAGCCCCTTTTAGAAAACTTCACTTCACTCTCACTGCTAAAAATCAGCTTGTTGAGGCTTTATGGGAAAAAGTCAAGGTTCAGAGAGAGTGTGTTCCACCATTTTTTGGTTACTTATGTCAAGGTAATTAATGGAAGCTTTTCCCTCTTAGTTTTTGTTTGCTGACAGGTATAGGGACAATAATTCTTAGAGTTAAAATTCTTTTGAGTAAAATAACCTATCTTTTCTTTGTAGCTTCCAGCAACACTTTCCTCCAAATATCCAGAAGATGACCCAGACTACTGTGTGTGGGTCCCACCTGAAGGTAGATTGTTTTTATTACTTTTCTTCTCTTCTAAGACTTATTTATTTATATTTCTGAATAGGTAATGTATGTTTAAGGTTCAAAATAAAGGTTTTATAAGCGTATATAGTGGGATAGGGCACCTGGATAGTGTAGTCGGTTAAGTGTTCAACCCTTGATTTAGGCTCAGGTTGTGATCTTAGGGTCGTGAAATCGAGCCCCATGTTGGGCTCCTCACTCAGTGCAAAGTTTGTTTGGGATTCTCTCTCTTCTGCCCCTCCCACCGATTCATTTGGCGTGCTCTCTTTCTTTCTCTAAAATAAATAGGGGTGCCTAGGTGGCTTAGTTGGCTGAGCATCAGGTCATGATCTCAGGGTCCTGGGATCAAGCCCCCTGTCTGGCTCCCTGCTCAGCAGGGAGTCTGCTTCTCCCTCTCCCCCTACTGCTTCCCCTGCTCATGCTCTCTCCCTCTCTGTCTCTCTCTCAAATAACTAAGTAATCTTTAAAAAAAAAAAAAAAAATCTTAAAAAAATAAAAAAGCATGTAGTGGGAATGTTCTCCCTTCTAGGGAAACAGAGTAAAAGATCTAAAGAGACATATCAATCAAATACAGTTTGTAGGTTCTGCTTGAATCCTTATTTGAACAAACAACTATTAAAAAAATTATACACCAGTCAGATAATTTTAAACACTAGCCAGATGTGTGATGATACTAGGAAATTATTAATTATTTTAAAATGTGGACGATGTTATATTTTTTAGAAAAAGTCCTTATCTTCTAGGACTGTGTACAGAAGTGTTCACAGACGGAATATCTGGGATGTGCCTTAAGATAATCCTGTAGAAGTAGAGGATGAGGGAGCATGGAGGGGGTAATGTCACATATTATTGTTGTAGCTGGGTGATGAGTATATGGAGATTCATTACATTTTTTTTTTTAACTTCCACACGTCTTTTACATTTTCTTTAAAGGTATTAAAACAACTACTACTGGCTCTGCCTTAGCTACTTGGTGTTTTCCTCTAAAGCCAGCCAAATATCACCTTCTTGTGGCTTCTTATATATGTCACATAAAATGCTGTGTGAGCAATTAAATACATAATATTTCACCATTGTTTTTACACAAATAGAAGCATATTCTTTTTTTTTTTTTTAAGATTTTATTTATTTATTTGGCAGAAATCACAAGTAGGCAGAGAGAGGGAGAAACAGGCTCCCCACCGAGCAGAGAGCCCGATGCGGGGCTTGATCCCAGGACCCTGAGATCATGACCTGAGCTGAAGGCTCAACCTTCTGAGCCACCCAGGTGCCCCTAGAAGCATATTCTATATCTTGCTGTTTCGCACTTAACACTATATGGAGATCCTCCCATAGCTATTTATAGATTCCTTCCTTCCTTCCTTCCCTCCCTCCCTCCTGTCCTTCCTTGTAGCATAGTTCTTTTTTATGGTACAGAAAATACCTTTACTTATTTATTCCATCAATGTTCCTTCAATGAATATTTGCTGTATTTCCAGTTTTGCCATCACAGACAACTCTGCATGGAGGAGAAGGGTTTGGGGGCTGGGGTAACTGGGTGATAGACATTAAGGAGGGCACGTGATGTAACGAGCACTGGGTATTATATAAGACTGATGAATCACTGACCTCTACCTCTGAAACTAATAATACACTATATGTTAATTAATTGAATTAAAAAAAATTCTGCAATGAGCAACCTCTAACATAATACTTTTACAAGTATAGAGGTGCATATGTAGAAAAAAAATCATAAAAGTTAACATGCTGGGTCAAAGGCTGTAAACATTTTTAAGACATTGTAAATTGCATTCTGTCGAGAGGATACAGCTTATGTTCATACTTACACTCTTAAGGCAATATATGAGATGTTTGTTTCCCATGTGCTCATCACAACTTGCTTTTCCTATGGATCAGGTTTCTAATATATTCGTAGTTAATAGAAATTTTAGGAATTTTGTTACTAGAAATGTTTGCTTTTTATTGGCTAATAAATAATAAGGGTAGAAATGAAAAGAGGACCCTATTTTGAAATTGTATGCAAAAAGGCAGAGTTCTAGAGTAGAAAAAATCTCTTTTGTCTGTTTTACTTTTTAGCCTGCTGATATCTGGGTATCTTTTCCCTCCCGACTTCAGGAAATTGAATGTGTTTCTTTCTATATACTCTGATCTAGGGCAAAGTGGAGATGGCAGGACCCATCTGAATGACAAGTACGGCTATTGACTGCTTCAGAATCCTAAAGGAACACCTTGTGGACCATGTGACATGGGATATGTAGGGTCCTATATCAAGTTGAATGTCCAGAGAAGGAGTTCAGGTGAACTTTTGTAAAATCTGGTGACTGGCCTTTTCTTTCATGGCTCCCTAAATTTATCTACTCATCTGATTCTCTTGAATTTGGCATTTATGTTTTAAAGTGTTTGTGTATGTATGTAAAAAGAAACCATACAGTTTGAGAATGGGTAAAGTGAGAGACATGACCCTATTAAAAGAGAAGGTGAAGATGTCTCATGTTTGCTTAAGGCCACGATGTCTTTCATTAAGTTTTAGAGACTGTACTTCTCCTGAGGAATAGGGTGCTTCTGGCAGTTAGACTCTAGACTTCACTGATATGGCCTTCTCAAATTAGTGGTGAAATATGAGGTCATGCCACAGTGTGACCCTGGTTGTCCCCTGTCATTCCTGGAGCTAAAAGTAGATACAGAATGGGGCTTCCTACTCCCTCCTACTATAACCTTGTGCCGGGTTTGAGAACAGACCCTGATTTATCAGGACACAGGTCAGGATCATAGTATATCTTGTGCACTCAGGCATCAGTCCTGATAAAAACTCAGTCCTTTCAATGTCCTGGACTCTGACCAGTCAGATTAGTCACCCTGCTCGTGTGGAAAGGTGCACATAGGGTCATGGAATGAAAGGTGGAAGTGTTTTGCCAGTGTGGGGCTTCTCACTTCTGTGGAGAGGAGACTAAAAGGTTTTCCTCTCTGGAAACTTAAAGAAGTGTGAGAAGTTGTCTTATATCCCCCGGTGCACCCTCTTCCCCCGCAAACATTAATGAATGCCTCACTTCGCAGGGAATGAAGGCCTAAGAGTAGAAGCAAAGCAGCGAGTTTGTGGATTAGGCTGGAGGCAGACCCAGTGAGCAGGCAGGAGAAACGCTGTGGCCTAGCAAGAGAGTGGATGAGGGTGATGTTTTCCTTTTTTTACATATGGTATATATATATATATTTTTTTTTCTTCATTATATAATATGCATGAAGTAGGCAGGGAGCAGTAATGAGTAACTTCAGTTACCCAGACGGATGTGGGAAGTCTGGTCTGTTGAAAGCGATGCCTTTCATTTCTCAAAAAACAATACCAATATTGGCATTATGAGAAACTACTATTTTGAGCTTCATTTAGACCAACGGGGAAGAACTTGATGTAAGAAGTGACAGGAATCTGGGGGCAGAGTGACCATGCCATCTTGGACTGAAACAGTAAGCAAAGGTCCAAGCCATGTCAGTGGTCTTCAAAGGTGGAGCTCTTTATTCAAACAAAATCATATGTGGGATCCTTAGGTCTGAACAGGTAAAAATATATCTACTGTGGTTTAAATGTGGGCACAGAAATGGGCTCGATAGATACATCCCTGCATGTATCCTCTCCATCTCCCCTCGCGGCATTCCTTAGGAATCCTGATTTAGGAAGGCAGATTTCTAAGTGTTCTGGAGACCTCCCCGAAAGCAAATAGGACTCCACATGACAAAATAAAATAGAAGTATGTCACTTGTACAATTAACATCAGTGCTTGGTGGCCTTGATTGAAAAGACGTGTGCCGGAGTCTTAGCTCCCTTTACCAAATAGGAGACTTTGGGGACATGACTTAAATCCCCTGAGCCTCAGTTCTGTCATGTGTGAAGCAGGGACAGTAATGCTTCCTGCTCTTTGAACCTCAGATTTGTACTAAGGATCGAATGAGATAGTGTAGAGGGATGTGCTCTATAGGGCTTTGTAGGCATGAGTAGTTGTCCCTCACTACAAACAGGAGGCAAATCCTGACCTGTGGGGCTGCCCCTCATGCATGAGGCAGGAGATGGGATGAAATCAGTGGTTCTCAACTGTGGCTACCTATTAGAAACACCTACAGAAATTTGTTAAGTTTTTCATTTTAATGCTTAGATCCCACCTTAAATCTCTTTAATCAGAATCTCTGTGTGATCCCTTTTAAGAGGCATTCCAGGTGATTTTAATGTGCAGCCCAGCCTATACAGCATGGTCAGCAAACCTTCTCTGTTACTGGCCAGGGATACCAGGCTTTGCAAGCCCTGCAGTCCCTATCACAGCCACCCTACTGTGCCACTGGGGGGCAAATGGCATAGACAGTACACAAATGGATGAGTGGGGCTGTGTTCCAGTAAATATTTCTAAAACAGGTGGCAGGCTTGATTTGGCCTGCAGGGTATCATTGGCCAACCCCTGCTCTAAGCTAATTCATCTTCAGGGTCCCATCTGGCTCAAGGTGTTTGCAAAAACTTTAAGAAGTAATGTGTGCCTCAGTTAATGGATGTTTGAAAAGTTTCTGTTCAAAAGGCTAATTATCCCCTCCTAGACAGGGAGGTTACAGTTTTATGTTACCAGAAATCAAGGTAATCCAGTTTTCTTTTCACAGAAAAGTAAGGTTTTTAGTCATTACAAAAAACACTGTTATAGCAAGAACACAATTGGCTAACTAAAAGCAGGGTATCCCTGGTCAGCTGTCTGGGTCTCCCCAGGAGTTCTGTACCACCTCTGCCTTTATATGTAAAGAGCAGTGGAAAGCCATTTGGGTGTTAGTGATGGTGAATGATCAGATTGGGGTTTTTAAAAATACTGAAAGTTACAGGGTGGAGGAAGGAGGGAGAGGATGCAGGAAGCCAGGTTAGAAGTCTGCTACAGAAGTCCAGGTGAGAGATTGTGGCAGCTTGCACTAAGTAGAGATCGAAATGCAAAGAGGTATTTGGGTCCTAGCAATATCTTGAAAAGTGGAATGGCTGAGACTGAGTGATGGGTTGGTGGGAGGAGGGGGTGGAGAATAAAAGTTCTTAGAGGAGAATAAAAGTTCGGTTTTGGACCAGTTGAGCTTGATGTCCCACTGAGACATCTAAATAAAGATGTAAGGAAAGCAGGTGGATACAGGAGTCTGGATCGCAGGAGAGAGGGCTGGTGAGCAGTTGCTCTCTCCGCCACGTGAGCCTAGGAGTCCGGGCACCAGCGGGTGAGGGGTTAAAGACCAGGAGGCAAGCAGGAAGTTTGCAGGCCACCCCAGACTTAGATAGCTGATTGCCCTTTCTTTGGTTTTGGGGGCACTTTTTTTTGGGATGGGTACTCATTTATTGGAGAAAAAAGGTAAAAAGTAAGTGTCACAGTTCTAGAGAAAGAAAAGTCAAGGATAAATATTTAACATTACAACAAGTCTCTTTGTCTGCTTCAGGACATTTCTAAGGAGTTTGCATAGTGCCTGGTACATTTAAATGTTGAGTGCCTGCCTTAAGCATCTTCCCTGAAATTGCCCCAGTCTAGGATAGGAATTACGAAGCCTCATCGTCTCCTTGTAACCCAAGCCTTTACCAGTTACCACTTCATTGGAACTGGATGGAGTTAGCTCTTTTGGGAAATATGACACAATTCCCAACAAACTTTGAGGCTGTTAGCCGCCGCCTGGGCATCTGTTGCTTTACCATTGAAATGCTGCCACCTTCCGGATAGGGTGTGACAAGTAGCCGGCAGCTGTGGCTGGCTTCCTGAAAGTGGGAACCAGAGGGAAGCTTGCCAGCCCAGCCCTGAGGTAGTCAAAAGCAGGAATCCAAGCCCCTGGCGGGGGAGCTGTGTTCCCATACAGGGTTTGGTCCAGCCCTGTTTGGACCCAACCAGGTTGGACAGACTGCTGGGAAATGACATAAAACTCTCCCTGACCTTTGGGAAGTGGGTCACAGCGTTAAACTCCCGTAGTCCCTTCTGTGACAGGCTGCTCTTTGATCCTGAGATTCCTCACTTGATGTGGGCATTGAGAACAATTTTCCAGATTTCTTCTCTGGTCTCAGAGTAGACTTTGCCCTGCTTTGTTTGGCCTTAGAGGTTTGGCACAACCATAATCCAGGGTGGGATTGAGGCTTCCATTCTGTGCGAGACCGAAGTTTCCCTTCCCCCAGTAAGAGGAGGTGGGTTGGAGGGTTCAGCATGGGAGGGAACAGTGGTTCCCACCAAAGGTAGCTCCATTCTCTTCATCCCCCAAGTCAGTCTTAACAATTTCCATGTGTAAAGTTTTAAGATTCATCTGTTTGCTTGCCCACTGCCCTGACCCAAGCTCCCTTCACTGCATGATTCTTTACAGAGTTCCCTTCCTCTTGTCTCTGCCTCATCGTGCTCTCCTCCACACATCTGAATTATCCCTGAGCAGGATTCTGTGCTCTGAAATCTGGAAGGTTCTTCAGTATCCGAAGGGTGAGGTCGAAGTTCATTTGAGGCTTTAAAATCCAATCCTTGATTATAGGGTTCCTGTAATTTATGATCATCATATACCCCATATGCCCTTGTCCTTTCTTTCTGCCACCTCACCAGGTGTACCTGATACTCTAGTAATAATAGATTCTTTCCCCAAACACATTTTTTGCTTTTACTTCTTCCTGTATTTTCTATCAAGCTTTGCTGTACATGATCTTAAGTCTCGGTTTCCTGGTCTGTCAAATAGAGAAAATAATGCCTTATAGTATTATGGAGATTAAATAATAGATATCTACAAAACCCTTAGCTGTGCTTGATGCATAATCAGCTCCCCCCAAATGTAGCTATTATTAGTATCACTGTGGTCTTCCTTGTTCACATCTGCTCATGTCATTTTTTTTCAAAGTCCAGCTTGAGTCTCACTACCTTCAGAAAACCCTGATCCCCATGGTCATCATGAATCTCTCCTTCCCCACCAGTCTTGTAGCATTTTGTGTTTTACTTCTCTGATGGCCCTTACTCCGATAGCCCTATGTCCATTAATTATATGTATGCTTCAGTTAGTTACATTTGTAAACTTTATGAGTTCTTGAGGATAGGAATTATGTATCTTATTTTGTACCCCACCCTTAACCTATGTCACTTACCAGTTCACAAAATGAGGACTCTGTTTATTGTTGCTTTAAATGAGTGGGTGTTGGAAGTTCTGGTCCTGGCCCTTTCTACTCTTGGGACTTCCAGGCAGAGAAGGAAGACTTCAGGGCTGCCTTCATTTCCAAGATCTTGCTCCAGACAAACTGGACAATCCAGGAACTGACCATTTGTGTAGGGTTAATGCAGAGGACCTGGATTCCTGTCCTGCTTGGGACAAAACCAGGCAGAACTACCCCTTCCCGTCAGAAAGCGCTGAATTCCAGCAGCTGGCTTTAATTTGGGCCTTAAGTCCTCTGCTGGCCCTGGAAAATCTTTGTCTTGAGGGTTGGCTCTGGTTTCCTGAGGCTGTCACGCACACCCCTTCAAAAGTCAATGCAGTGGTGTCAGAGAATGGCCACAAGAGGACAGTAGAGACCCATTACTATGCAGTCAATTTGTGCACTGGGCTGAAAGCAAGAAGAAAATGTTTGAAAGCAGAAGAAAGAGTACAAATCAGAGAAGAAAATAAAAATTCTGAAAGAGTTAGAGGAAGCAGTCTGGTTTGGCTCACCAGTGTCTTCCTGGGCCCAAGACCTGAGAGCAGCAAGTTAGTCAGGGATGCTGGTAACCCTCAAATGGTGCTCCTTAAATCTCTTCCCAACCTGTTGTTGCTGATGCTTCGTTTTACCTTGAGAAAGTCTCTCTCCAGAAGTAATGCAAATATTCTGTGGAGGAGTTTGGGCACTGCCTATCTAGTACTTACACACTATATTGCAGCTTTATGGTTTTTTACAGAGAATTTTTCACACTTATTTCTCCCCATCTTTATTGAGGTGTAATTGACAAAAATCGCATATAATTAATATACACAACTTGATATTTTGATATATCATGCCTATTTTAAAAATCTGAGTCTCCTTTTAGTCTTAAAAGGTAACAAGAAGAGATGTCATCCTGCCAGGTTCATGGTGGAACCAAGTCTAGAGTTTCTCTGATCCCAGATATTTTGCTTATTCTTTGTAGCTTTCCGTTACTGATGTTTGTCAGCTCTTGAGTTTTTAAGAGCAGGGACTACATCTGATTCATCTGTATGTCTCTGAATGGTGTCCCCTTTGATTTTTAGGACTGTGACTGGGTGTGTGGTATAAGGCCCTGCCCTGTGGGAGTTGACTTCCATGATCTCTCCCTTATCCTCCCCGATTCAGGAACTTTTGATTTTGAGGCACGGCCCTAAAAACAGCAGTGGTTTCCCCGAGCAATGCCACTGGCTGGCCATTTCTACAAAGGCAGCCACTGACTGACAGTCTGTGAAGATCCATCCTTAGTAATGTGGACTCGATGTAGGACAGCTGGACAGTTTCTCAAAGAGTGCACTGGCATCCCTGGTGTTATGAGAGTTACTTTAAGGAAGGAGGATGAAAATGTTTAATTTTAGCAGTTGCACATATATTACTTAGACATATATATAGATGCGTAAGTATTATTGCTTAGAATGAAGTCAATTTTTTAAGTGAGTTTATTTAAAGAAAAGTATTAAGTAAATAGTAGTATGGTGGTGTGCAATAGCCAAAGACCATGAAGCAGGTGTACCAGTGATTCAAGTTCAAGGAATTGCTGTGAGATGGGAAGATGTAACTAGAGTCAGAAAATTCATTTCAAGTCTGGCTCTGTGACCCTCAAGCCATGCAGCCCTGATTAAGTTGCTGGCCCTAAATGAGCTTCATTTTTCTCATCTGCACAGTCAGAAAAGAATTCTTGCTCTCCTTCACTCAAATGAGAACAAATTAGAGCACACTGACGCCTGGGAAACCCCTGTGCAAATGTCCAGTGCTGCTAATATCCCAATTCCCTGCCTTACCGAGGTTTATCTAGGACCTTTTGTCTTTCTCTCCCTCTTTCTTTAATATTTACTTATGTATGTGGGAGAGAGAGCCTGAGTGCACGAGGCGGGGAAGGAATGGAAGGCCAGAATCTTAAGCAGAGTCCCTGCTGAGTGTGGAGTCCAGCCACTGGGGCTCCCTTAGTCCCACAACCCTCAGATCATGACCTGAGCTGAAATCAAGAGTCAGACGCTTAACTGGCTAAGCCACCCAGGCACCCCCAGGACTTTCTCTTCACTGCTGCAGTGGGTTCCTCCTAATTAGCATGCATGGATTCCAAGGTTTCAGTTCAGTCAGTTGTCCACACCTAGGTCTGCCACTGGGAGGAAGGAGTTGCTAGAGAAACCTGGAATCAGGGCAGGAACAAGTCCCAACACATGTCACTGTTTGCTTTGTCATCCTGATTCAGTGACCTCATACAAGGAAGGGAGGGAGCAGAAGGAGCTGTTCTCTTCCAGATACCTAAGGAGGCTTCTGACATCTACTGTTTTCCTTGGCATGAAAGGAGCAGGCGTCGGGCTGTGATTTTTAAGGTCTGAGCTAATCTTGGAAGTGAAGGAGAACAGCACCTCCCATAGCTGTCCAGACTCTGCTTCTTGGGGAGCTGCCTGGAGTAAAAGGGCAGAAGAGTGACCCCCAGGGCCAGGAAGGATCATCATCCTCACACATTCATACATTCACTGAGTACTTTCTGAGTACCTACTATGTACCAGGCCTCTCGGGGAAACGAGGCAGCCATGTGTATCAAAGGGCTGCATAGGATCTTAGAGTCAAGTTTTTAGCACAGAAATCCTTTTGTCATCCTTACCCCATCCCTTCTCCCACCCTAGACTTAATTAAGGTTTCAATAAATTATGTTGCCACCCAAAAAACTACATTTATTAATTATTGACTTCTGAGTTTTTTGGTCATGAATAATTGATGCAACCGCAAGTGAATGTTTTTGATCAACACAAGGTCATAACCAGCATTGCAAAGTAATCAGCTTTTTAGCTATCCTGCTTATCCTAGTTGAGCTCTTTAAATTTTGGAAAGTGGCTGGCCGACTACCTGGGGAGTCTGTTTTAGAGATGGGACCATAACCACTGGGTTTTGAAGGATAAGCAAGAGTTCATAAGCAGAGAGAAAGAGGGCGCTGCAGGCGGAGGGGGCAGAAGAGTCCCACGTTGCTGCAGTATGTGCCCCCTCTACCCTTGGGCTGATCAAATGGATTGGCTGTGACACGAACTTAGTGGGTGGAAGCTGGGTTGTGGAATGGAGCTAATGAGGGTGGAGATGAGAATTGGAAATCTTAGGGTCAAATGTTCTAGTCTGTCCACATCATGGTCCTGGAGAAACTCAGGCAGGAAATCCCACTAGAGTCCCTTTGGTTCCCAAGGGCAGAAGGGAAAAAGACAGCAAAGGACTTGCCAAAACTCTGCCCCAGAACTGGCCTGAAACCTGTCTCCCACCCTGGCTGCCCCGCCCCTTAGCTCCAAGACCAGACCATTTTTCTGTGATTTTTTGGCTCATCTCATAAATGTTCCAGAGTCAGAACAGACTGTGCCATGGCTGAAACAAACTTGTTGAACAAATAAACAAGGCAGGCTGCAGGGCTGAGGAAGGCACCAGACATGGGTCCCCAACCCAGTCCATGAGTTCTGGTAAGTCTGTCCGGAGCCTGGGCTTCTGCTGCTTCCTTCCAACATGAGAGGTGGGAGCACGAGATTTTTGGGGTCCCTTCCAGCTCTGCGATCTAGGCAGATTGCCCACACAGGGGTAAGTGTCCAAGCTCCAAGTTCAAAAGAAACCTTTCTGCTACGTGGTACAGCTAAGGGCTGGGAGAGGGGAGATATTCCCATGGCAGATGCTAAAACCAAGGGATACCCATTTCCTTGTTCACTCAGCAAACACTTAACAGAGTGTCCAGTCTTTGCTAGGTGCTCTGCTGCCCCTTCCTTCAAGGAGCATTCAAGGAGTTCTAAATGCTCTAGCAGAGGAGGGTATGTCACAGTTCCTTGCATGCACTGAGTTGTTCCCCACCTCAGGGCCTTTGCTCCTGCTGCTCCCACCACCTAGAATGCCAACCTCTCCCTCCTTGTTCCTTGTTCCTTGTCTCAGCTTAAATGTTGTTTCCTCAATAAGGCTTTCCCTGACCACCGTATACGTGGTAGGGTTCCCCAGCTCTCCTGCCACACTGCATTACTCTCAGAATTTTTGGTAGTTTGTAGTTCTACATCTGCCCGTTCATTTAGTTATTTGCCACCATTTTGACTACAGTATAGGTAGCGTGAGGGCAAGAGTTCTGTTCGCATTGATCCCTACTGGACCTGTAACAGCATATACTCATAGAATATGAGAAAAATATGTTGGCTGTTTTTCATGGACTACTTCATTTAATCCTCTTGACAACCCTAAGAGAGAGGTGTTATTATTATGTACATTTTGCAGTGAAATGACAGAGTCTAGGGATGGTAAGTATCTTGTAGTTCACAGGGCTGGGTTTGAACCTCATCTCAAAGAGTCAGGGCTCTTTCACTTCACCACACAAGGCTCTGCGCCTGGCATCCCTGACTGACTTTTTCTTCTTTTTTACTTTTTATTTTGAAATAATTTCAACTGACCAAAAAGCTACAACACTAGTACAAAGAACTCCTGTATACTCTTTACTCAAGTTCACCAGATGTGAGCATTTTGCCATATTTGTTTTAATATTCTGTCTTCTCCTAGCTTGTGTTTTTCCATGTTTATACCAATTTTCTTGTTTTGGATGATTTTAGAGTGAATTGCAGACATTATACATGTCTGCCCTTAAATACTTCTGTGTGAATTTCTCAAGAACAAGGATATTCTTTTATACAAAGTCAAAATCGGAATTTACATCAGTATGATACCACTACTTAATATACAATCCATACTAAATTTATCCAGTTGTTCCAATAATGTTCTTTATAATGATACTTCTTTTTTTTTAAGATTTTATTTATTGGGGCGCCTGGGTGGCTCAGTGGTTAAAGCCTCTGCCTTCGGCTCAGGTCATGATCCCAGGGTCCTGGGATCGAGTCCCGCATCGGGCTCTCTGCTCAGCAGGGAGCCTGCCTCCTCCTCCTCTCTCTTTCTGCCTGCCTCTCTGCCTACTTGTGATCTGTCTGTCAAATAAATTAAAAAAAAATTTAAAAAAAAAGATTTTATTTATTTATTTGACAGAGATCACGAGTAGACAGAGAGGCAGGCAGAGAGAGAGAGAGGGAAGCAGGCTCCCTGCTGAGCAGAGAGCCCAATGTGGGACTTGATCTCAGGACCTTGAGATCATGACCTGAGCCAAAGGCAGTGGCTTAACCCACTGAGCCACCCAGGTGCCCTATAATGATACTTCTTTAGTCCATAATCCAACCCAGGATCATACATTCCTTTTAACTATCATATCCCTTTCGTTTTTTATTCAGAACAGTTCTTCAGCCTTTCTTTCTCCACCATGACATTGATATTTTTCCGGAGTATAAGCCAGTCATTTTGTAAAAT